CCACAACCACTTATTTCGTACTATTTGTCTGCTTGATTGCATTGTTATGCTCGTCCGCGTGATATGAATCGGGTGATCATCTCCTAAGAATACCTCGTCGAACAATGTGCTCTCATCATCGGATTACCCAACCAATGCTCAGAGCCATCAAATGAAGTGTAACTGAACTCCTCATTCTTGGTGAGCCAATCTCTCGGCCAGAACTGCCACACAGTGTGCATAGTCGACATCCAATAATGAGGACAGTCTAATTCAGACTAAGAAAATGGAAAAATCTGCCTGTGTACATGCGATTTTCAAGTTGACCTTCACTCGCTTCAGATGATCTCATGGTCTACATGGAGCAGATTTTCCGCAGACTTACAGTTAGTAGTCCCACGACATGTGCATCCTATAACAAACCGTGATTGGCGACGAACAAACAAAAGATATCTTCAAAAATGTCTTACGAACACCAGTGTTCTGGAGATCATGGATCTTATTCGAATGTGACAACCCAAACTCCCTCACAAAATGCAAACACACAAACCAATTAAACGGGAGTGTACGTAGATTACAAGCGGCTGGTAGAAGCCATGAGATTTTTAGGGAATTACATCGAAGAATCTCCTCAGTTGCAAGCGAGAATGCCTAATCTTCGTAGCGGTAATTCCGCTTAGAGTTAGCCTTTTCTGTACTGTTCACGATCAACCCCGTTGTACTGTAATTGTCTCGAATTTTATGGGATTACTTTTAGGGTTGGGGCAGTGATTTGCGCAATGAATTTGTTGTGAATCACCCTAACTAGTTAGATTCTCATTATCGGTTGTGGATTAAAACGAGCAGACTGGGTTAGATATGGGATACATTTTTCTTCGTGTGTTGCTCACGTCTTCCTGGAGCTGTTCGAGAAAGAACTGTTACAGGTCCTTAAATGGCACGTCTCTCAAGAGGAGTAAAATCACTGCGCTCTTAGCAGTCTATTTACCAACTATTTGAGTTTTTTATTCTGAATTAGCAAGAAATTTGGAGAGAGGAATGACCTTCCATTGAATAGTGAGATATATGGCGCGAAATGGGTTAAGAACCACTCGTTTCATAGGTATTTAGCCTTCCGAAACGAAAATACTGTAGCTTGATCTTTTTTCTGTACTACTTTGTTATAAAAATTTCCCATACACTTTTTTTCCATAAAGGCCAAATTTGTCGATTGGTTCGATCGGATCCGTTGCTCAAAACTGAGAACCCGCATAGTTAAGTGGTATGCGTGCGACGTAAAACAAACAAAATCTACTCTAAACGGTTAACAAGAATGCAGATGCATTACCACACACGCCGTATCGTGCGTAACGTCACGTGTCCCTTTTGATTGCCCTGGTAAGTTGACGAATGTATCGGTATCAAGGCTTATTAATCAGGCAGTCGACCAACCTCATTTTTCCCAAATAAGATGAGAAAAACAGTCTCGCTTTTTATTCCCGAATGAGAACAAACAAATATCGTTGGGTAGGAGCGAACTGGATGTGACAGTATGCCAGTAACTGGTGGCACTAGAGACACCCATGCACACCCACGACACGCACCCGTTAAATCGATAAGCATAGCCAGAGTGTGATTGGTGTGCTACATGGCGAAACGACGGGTCGAAATAACCCTGTACATCTGGGTTGGTGACTCCCATGAGTCGATCAGACATGGCCGAAGAAACCATGCGAAGAGCGAGGAAAGGGAGAGTCTCATTTCGATTCGAGCCGCCGACATCGACATTTTTCAGATCATGACGCTACCCCCATTGGCTAACGGGACAAGTAAGATTTAACGATTAATTGAAATCCGGGGACTGCGTCCATCTGATGAACCCCAAACAGAGCGAAGCTGGTGGAAAGAGATCGGCGAACTCCGAGCAACATTACGTTAGTGTTTACAAAGGAGACTTCTTCCATATACGACGGCCGAGTTATACCAATCTTGGCTTGCCGAATACACCCTTGGTGCTTCAAGGCATGTTAGGGCAACACCATCTGTTCTTGAAGTGTTCAGAGTAGTCTGCAGGATACCATGTCGGCAGCCGTGATAGAATCAAATAAATTCACTAAGTTACACTGGATACAGAACTATTGAACTTCACTTGGAGGATCACGAATTTGTTGATATACAGGTGTGACTTGCTTCAACGCGCGCGATTGATATGGCTATCTCACTCGTCAGATACAGATAACTTGCAGCGCTGCCGGGGTCAGGTCTTCTGTTTTACAACCGTGTACACGAGTATGATGTTCGTGGTCATCAGTCCCTGCCTACCGACAGACGAAATCACAGAAGAGTGATGAGATACCGAGGACGAAACCAGGAGAGTAGATTTTAAGTAATGGGGAAGACTGAGTGAATACAGAGGCACCACTAGTTTCGGGATTTAACCTCCAGCTCCCTACCCTGGTGAACGGCATGGATCAACGTGGTTGAGACCATGAATCATATTTCTACAAGGTACTCTCATTTGCATACGAACTTGGTTTTGACGGGAGACTCAAATCACTCTAGCTGAATCTCTGGATTATAAACGAGATTCAGCTGGATTCATTCGAGTCTCTCATCAAAACATGCAAATGAGAGTAAGTGACAAATATCGTCCGATTCGGGTTCAAGCAGAATATAAGGTTGATAGAAACTCGGGGACTGCGTCTACCTAATGAGCCGCAGGATGGGCCCAACGGAACGCGGGCTGTCGAAGAGTTTTCACCAACCTTATGAATAGTTGCGTCTGGATTTTTACCACTTCCTTGCCACGTCATAACTTAACCAGCGGTTGCGCTTTTCCACCCAGTTTCCGATAGTGTGAAGAGGGCTTGTCTGAGCAAACGGTCTTTGGACATGGATAACACATGATCGAGCCAGCGTACCTGTTGTAATTTTACCAAACCTTCAATCGAGCGTCCACTAGACGACCTGCTATATATCATAAGACCTAAATGAGCATTGAGAATGCGGTGCCCCCACCAGATACATAGTGCTGTTGTAGACATCGATGGTCAAAAGCAGGCAGTCATTATCTAGCTACTGCGAAAAGTTGTCAAGTTTCGTAATCACACAATAGCACCCATCGCACTGCGGTACACTCATTTTTCACTGATAGGGTGACACCATGACGGCACAGAAACATCATCTCTTCACCGACAATATAGGCTCTGGGTGAGGCCTCTCTTGATACCCTGATGGTTCTTCCCATTCAATAAGAGGGACAAAGTACTTGGATATCCACCGAGTTCTGTCGCGATTGGGTTTTCGGAAAGGCAGACTGAACGGCTACGGTCTTGAAAAGCCAAAGATTTTGCGAACTCCATTCGCCCAGAAATGCTGTCGACAGTAATTTAGACGGTTCATGAGAAGTGTTCAGAAAGAAGTGTCTGCTTTACCAGCGGAAAACGAGTGGTCCGTCTAGATTCCGTGTAGGTGTTCCGAAAGGAACGAGTCTTGAACACACGATTGCCACTGACGGTTGCTTGTCACGTGGTCTAACTGTGGTTCAGAAGACGCCAGATAACAAGGCTGAAGTTGGTGTTGGAGATAAACAAATTACAACTTAGATACCATTGGAATCGGTCATCATTGCTTTTTCTTGGAACAGGGACGCAAAGGATGTGCACGTTGAAGGACTTGAAGGTTTCCGCGTCATATACCTGTGGGTAGTAGTTCCCTTCTGCAGAAATCACCTGAAGCAACCGATCAAAATTGCTCCCCTGAGGGTGGTCCGGAGAAAACGAGTACAAGAAAGGTGCGGTCATTTCTGGGAGGCTATCACGTTAGAGCTAGCTTCGAATAAACTGTAGTCCACAGGTTCAAAGTGGCGTGAAAATCTATTCGTCGAACATCCGTTAACCACAACTTCGCACGCCTGATCTGATTCGGCCACGATTCTCAGTGGACATTGCTTGGCACACTGAAGCCAGTCAGGAAAGTAACCAGCAAACGAATCGTTGCAGTATCGCTCCTGAGTAGAACGTCAAGAGCTGAGGTCAACTAAGCCGCAGTGTTCTACGCGCCCAAAGTCAACAGGTAAGTTCTAGAACACGGATATCTTTGCATCCTACATATAATGTCATATATTGCAATTTGTTTTTATCGCCCATCAATCACAACGTTAACGGCAAGGGAGCATCATCGCACACTTGACTTCTTCATCCAGTCGTTTCAACGTCCAAGCGATACTCGATGTAATGTAGCAGATTTGGATCTACTAAGTACACTTTGTTGTCGTGCTCTCCCATCCGATTTCCAGGTATCTTTCATTGGGTCTTTTTGTTACCCTCGTACACTTTTATTGATTCACTGGTAGCATTGGGAACTCAGTCACTCCGGTCTGAGCGAGAAAAGACAAACAATAATACGATCAAGGTTCATTTGAAAATCTCCCGTGACGAGACTTTTCCCCAAAAATGCACGAAAAACAGACTGAGATGAAATTTACCGCATATTTTTGATCTTTTCGAGCGCGACAACTCAAGGGTCCAGCGATCATTTCATATTTCAAACGAAATACTGTATATAATTTGAACAGCCAACCCGAGACTGCGATACATCGATCACGTTCGCACCTCATCTTGGGTCATTTCTTCGCCTCGGGAATTATCAGCGTACTAGCTCGTTAGCTATTGGAACGATAAACCTGATCGACCGTCCACATGCTCATTTCCGTCCTTCCGTAATTTTCTCTTACTTCCCACTACATGGGTTTGACTAACGCTGGAGCATTTGGAGGATGATGTGGTTGGTCTCAGTCTTACGATGCTATCGAATCAATGTTCCTCGAAGTATTCAGTATCTAACAACAAAGAGGGTAAGGATGAATATTGCTAGCGATTACTTGAGAGCCCACAGTAGAATGGACCGTTTTGACGATTATACCAAACACAAGAGAAGCAAAATCCGCCATTTAGATTTCACCGATATAGATGAGGAGTCCCCACAAAAGTTCGAAACTCTGGAAAACTTTCAACTGTTCACGAACATCTGAAAGTCCCCAATAAAGCTGCGACACCAGTGTCGTCGAAAATAACCTGGTTGCATTACATAAGTGAAGTATGCATGTGATTACGTGCACACGATGACTTACACACAGTTTATGGGAGAGGATAGTCATGGCGGCGAAGCATGAGGATCGAATAGCAATGTGCCGTCGATGATGACACCCATTCGTTTGTATGACGCTCTAAAATTGAACAGCACGAATAATACTCATCGCATTACTGGACGTTATGCGTGCGTCAAATCAGTTGCGAAGTCATCTACATCTACTAGGCATGAAAAAAAACCATCCCAGTTGGGGGAACGTATAATGTTCAAGCCTTAGTGATCTGAAGCACAGCTGTTACCAAATCAAACAAAAATGTAAAACGTAGCAGCGGGCCCTTGTTACATCATTCGTGGTTTTTGCTGGGTTACGGAGGGCGAGGGATGCACAATATGTGGCAAACAGCAATGACCGTAATGAACAAATATAAGCCAGAATTGTGACGACTGGAAAAAATCCTAGTAAGGGATTGAAATTTAAAACAAAAAGGACTGATAAGAGGCAAGTGGCGCCCCCCGGAGTTCGAATATGCCTTGTTCATCGTTAATATGGGTGTCAAAGTCCTGTTTCGAATCCTTCCTTGGAAATCCAAGATGCAGGTGATCGAGGTTCTGCAACGAACGTACCGAAGTGGAGTGGCTTCTCCCATGGGAAGTTACAATGGAGAAAATCACGGGGTATACAGGCAGGGTGATAAATCATAGTCAAATTACCCTTAGGTTCAAACTTAAAACAAATTACTGAGACAATGGCAAAGATTTTAACATGAAATCCGGCACAACATGAAAAGCGACCGAAGCAGTTACAAATGGGGAGCAATGATTAGTTACTAGACCGTTTATGGAAGTTAGAATGGTATGTGAGAAGGTAGAAAAACCAACGTAAAGGGGAACAATTGTAACGCATGGACTAAAGAAAGTAGCTCTCAGGAGTTTGAAACGAATCCAAGAGTAGGCGAAAGCTGGAACGTACTTGACAATACATCCAGGTAAGGCGACAAGGCTGAGACAACTGGGGCAGAAGTGCATCTCATCTCAGACTGGAAACCCCATGTGACAACATGTGAGAGGATTTACGATGACAAACGAGTCTCAAAAGTGAACAAACAACGTAGAGATACTGGCAGTTCCGTACAAGAACAAGAACAAGCTGCTGGTAGTGGGTGAGGGAAAAACGAAAAGAAGCAACGAAGACACAGCCACCAAAAGTATGATTCGGGGGCCATGATCACGATCATGGATAAAACGTGATGATAACGGGAGCGCAGGTACGGAGTGAACTAGGACCGTAGATTGGTGTTGGTCGGGGTGTTTACGTGATAATCACTTCTCCTTGTTCTTGTCCTTGGATCGCGATAGAGAAAACGACGGAAGCTTGAAGCGCCTCTTTTTCTTTTTCTTAGTCTGTGTGTGTGAAAGAAACGACATATGAAGGAGGATGTGAAACAAACGGTCATAAGTAGAGACGCAATGTATGAGTAGAGCACAGGTCAAAAACACGTGGCGAAAGCCACGCCCAAACCCGATAAACCGTTACCACCTGCATGCCTAGTCAGCAAGAACAACCACACAGGCTACTTGCTTCCGAAACAGCAGACAAAAACACGAACTATGTACGAGGTTGGCATAGAAATAAGTTGACTAGATAAACGGGTGGGGACCTTGGATGCAGACAGACACCGGCAGAGTTGGAAGCTGGGTTTCTCGTACGACGGACGATCAAAAGCCCACTGCTCCTATCTAGAATCAACCAAACCGGCAGTGGCCCAACCACTGAGGTTCCATCAAGTGGCATGGTAGCATGACTCCAGTTGTGAAGGAATTCTTGGCGTCATTCGTCTTCTGTCATCTTTTGGTGGTCTATGATGCATTGACTTGACAGCAGCAGGCGGGATTCCGGCCTGCTAGGGATCAAGTTGACCAAATCTTTACACTCCGTCAAACGTTTAAACGATCCATAGTTTCGGCACTCAGATGACCAGTCTGTTCTCATTAACAAATTATGTGTATTCTCGGACTTGAACCTTTCTAAAAGCTTACGTAAAAAAGGGTGTCCGTCAAGGGCGGCCACTCTCCAGTTCTACTTAATTTCATAATCAACGAGGTAATAGGATTAACGCCAGGTTTCAAACCATCGTGTTCAAATATCAGCTCCGATCGTAGTGTGGTAGACGAGGACAATCCCTGATTATCTAGGGATCCTGTAGCGTTTGCCAATTTAAGACACCTATGGTAGCAGAGCTGCATACTCCTGAATTTCAGGGGACATATGTATCAGGCTGTAGTGTCGGCTGTTTTGTTGTATGGCTTTGAGACGTGGCCTCTGCGAGCAGCCAAACTGAGATATCACCAGGCATGCGACAACCACTGTCTCGGAACCAGAGCTCCTGTAAGCCGGTGTCGACAAATCTACGAGAAATTAAAAACTAATTTTCGGTCCCACAACAGGGACTTGAACCGAAGGATGCAACCAGTACATGCCAAATCACCGTTGGGTGAAGAAAGTACTGTTTTCTGTGCCCCATTCAGAGTGGTGGTCAACCTTCGACCCGGCAGAGGGATATGAAAGAGATCACGAAAAGTCTTTGTAATATTGGCGCCTACTTTCTAGGATTGGGCCCGCGTAATCCCTCCTGAGCATGGCTGGAGACGCTGTTAGATCGATGCTAGTGGCATTGTTGTTGTCGGTTTTTATTAAGTGTCTGAATGAGTGTCTGGAGGTGCAAACACCTTGGAATGATTCTAGTAGGCTAGTATTAAGTCCATCCCCAATCCACTTTTATTTTTCTCACAATGGGTTGTTCGAAAATGTATGGTTGTACAACACCAATGCATGTGTTGAACACTGTCATTGTGCTGTGATGTACGACAAAAACATGTAGCGTGAATAATTCAGCTGAGCCGGGTACCCTTCCGACACAGCTGAATGGAAACCCGAAGGAAACAAAAATACTGAGGTATTTGGGGGTTGGCCAAGCCTACACGGGAACTGCTGAAAAGTGGGGCACACTTATTCCAGGAGATCACACCTTAACCCAAGCCACCTGGAGATCAAGGTGACTACTAATAGTTGCGAATCCATTTTAATCCAGAGCTATCAAGAATCATCACAAACTAGATAAACCTGACCCACGTCTGCACTTAGTAGGAAGTGAAGTTAGTTGGTGAGCGATTAAGAGAAGTCATCGGAAAATTCAGTTTACATACTCTGAGTTTTTGAAGTGGCAGCAAGATCGAAGAAAGATACTTTGAAGTCATAGTAAAGTAAACACTAAAGATAGGAATGCCTTATCATCAGAAATAATAGCATGTGTTGACACTGATGCCTCACTGCCGTACAACCACAAAATTTGTCAAGCCATGTTATTCAGAGCCTGAGAGTGGACAGATAAATAAATGGGCGAGGGATCGGACCTAGTGCTGGTCTATCGCGAACATTCTGAGTTGCTCAATCAACCTAGAAACTGACAGCACGAATGCTGTCAGTTGACCATTGATCAGCCGCCATTTGTTGCTATGTCCCCAACCAAAAGCAGGACTTTCACGGGAATCCTGTCCTGAAAGCCGTGCCGCATCAAAGTAAAACTTTTCGTAAGCTCCTTCACACCCTTCTACCAGGTTATACATTGTCTACCTCGCGGTTTAGGCCATTCTGAAGCAGGCAAGGAGAACAGCACTGGTCTCGATACGCGATGTATCGGTATGATGGCTCAGCCACCGCAGTTGATGGTGATGGATATTTTCCGGGACTGAGGCACACGCTGATGTTATGTCGATGAGAATGCAGTTATCGTCCACAGAAGCAATAAAAAGACAATAGATTTGACCGAAAAATGACTCTACTAGAATCAGCTATATCCAAAAACAAAAACAAACTTACTTCGTGTTCACCGGCGTCCTCTGTTCCACTCGGTTCTGATGTTAGTGTCCCAGCAGTGGTGGGAGGAGCTAAATGAGCTGCAACATAAAAAACAGGGAGTAACATAACCAAAAGGTGCAGTTAGCGAAGGATCAGGCTATGATGGTGTGTGAGGGACTTTTGACCGAGGAAGAAGTTGACTCGACAGTCAGGCCCTGAGATGGTTTTGGCTGAATGCCAAACTAGAGAGAACAAACGCCTAAACATGCAGGCAAAAGCCCGACATGCGAAGAGCATAAAAATGTTATTCGTAGGCGGTGAAATTCAAAGCTCGAAACAAAGCGGATCTGGGTGGAACGTTAACCCACAACAGCTAGCGATAGCCAGAGCACCACTGATATTTACACTTGCAACGAAGTGTCAAACTGCCAGTCGACGGGAACAAGATTGTACAGAGTTGTGCCAGATGTTTCATAATCATGGGAACCACAGAACCATAGACGAAATTGCGAATTCGGTGGTGAATCATAAGGACATTTACTCAGATCTAATATGAGGAATAAGACAGTCCTACGTGTAAAAACGGACATGTCTATTCATGAGTTCATTGGAATGTAAAACAAATCACAGGTTGATCAGCATTACACGCCAGAACACACAATTTTGTGTCTAGTGAGCAGAGCGGTGAGCATGAAATCTAGCATAAGAAATAGTCAACAAAACGACAGTACAAAAAGTATGCGGAGCGGTTGTAGTTAGTAAGGTGGACAGAGAGCTGACAGAAAACCTACTTGCTCCAGTGTCGCTTGCACTCTCCAAGTCTGTCGCACCGCTGTCGACGGCTAAGGAGTCGGGTGATACGGGAGATAGCGCGCCATCGGCGACGACCAACCCACGACGTTCCAGTTCTGCGGCTAACTCAGGGTTGTTCTTAATCTCGATCTCACGCCTGTACATCTCCAACTCCTCGTCTGTGATCTTTTCAAACGGATTTTGGTGCGAATAGAGGGCCTGGAAGAAAAGTAGATGGGTTTGATGGACGGGGTCAGATTCGCCCCTTAATCATTCTGTCACGCTTTTCCAATTCTGATGGAGGTCAATAAGGTTCAAAATACGGTAGGAATCGCGAATATAACAAGAGTACCGGCAATAAACTCACGTCATACACGACTGCGGCATTCCGAACATCACGTTGAATGATAGCTTTGCTGGCTGCTGCGACGGGAACATCCTGAACTGCACCCTGAGCGACAAGTGCGGCATATTTCGGACCTAGGACTTTCATCAAACCTTCGTCACGAACACGGCGCGCCTCGTCCCATGTAAGGTTATCCAACAGACGTGACTGCGGCCCGGCAGTGTTGGTATCATGATAATACTTGGCTTTTACCTATAACAAGCGGGAAGATCAGTTCTAGTGGACGCAGTAAAAATGGAATCCAACCAGCAAGTATGAGACGTAACCCGATTTAGTGGTTATCAGCTACCCTCAACGAAAAGCAACCAACCCTACTGACTAAGCTGGAAGAGGCTTGTTTCGACAGAATTAGTGGGTTCACGTAACTTCGCACATCTTACTCGACTGCCAACTATGGTCACATTAAATAAGGGGTACACGCTGGACGCATACGGTCAGTAGTCAAAAACTGGATGTAAATGTGTAACTTGGCTTGGGGGGGGGAGGGTGCGACTGCGGGTGACGTAAGTAATGTTCGGATACAAGCAAACAGGGCGAAAAACGGACTAACCGGGGGGGGATGAGATTAGGTTCCATGAATTCCAAGTTCGAAACCATTCCCATATGGATACAAGTTCGTTCTGAAGTGTCGGTTCCACAGCTTTCGCTTAGCACACGAGTGACGACTTAAAATGTCGAATGAACATTGTGTGCTAGTGCATAACATGTGGAGAGTTACGGAGATCTACCGACCGATTTGAATGGAGACTAGACAATCCCGAGCCTAGCCAGACACAGTGGAGATGCTGAGATTGAGTTCGAACTGCGGACCTTCCGGTCCGTAAGCTGGCGCCTAACTACTGAGCTATCTCGAGCCTGAATTCGATACGTACGATATGTGGCCACCAGCTTTCGGCTATCCGATATACCCTTGGGTGTACACCAAAGTTGAACGAGCGGTTGATAGAGGCTATCGGGATGACCCAGTATGTAAAACATGTGAGGTGAACTTACCTTTCGTTGTTGATCTCGGTATTCTTTTGGATTAGACCCCTGTGGAGCGAACACGTTATAGGGGCTGCAAACAGAAGCCGTGCCGGTTGCGGGACCCCCAGTTGTGCCCATCGGAACGGCTCCAGGTGTAAGGGGATGGAAAGGTGCGGGTGGGGGGAGGGCGCCACTTGAAACGGCCTTCCGAATGGCATTTTCCTTTTCAGAAACCCAATGGGAGACTGGCTGATGGGCAGGCGACGGTTGGATCAATTCTTTCGTGTATTTATTTGGTGTGTTCAGCCAATGTTTTTGTGCCCACTCACGTCGCAGTGTGCTGGTGTTAAGAGATGAGTGCGCACAATAAGCAGAAGTAGATCACGGTATAACATCTTTCAGGAGGCTAGCAAATTCGTGTAGTACAGAAACCACTGAAAATTGTAAGCGAATCTGGTAGAGGAAAACGCTCCGCGGTTACTGTCAAACTGGCCAGCTATCTACTCCTGTCCATAAAAGGGGAAGGCGAAAGGGCATGCTATACGGTTATTCCAGGCATTTGCGCCTTTTCTTACAGGGATTCACCTGGGTCACAATTTTAACTATTTTCCAGATCTGCCTATTGCAAGTAGAGCTAACACTCACTAAGAAGTTGGATAATACCAAATTCTGGCCCGCCGTAAGATCTACGTATGGTGATGTTGCATTTCATTTCAGTCTGTGGAACCAGTGTAACGGGGTACGTGTTCGGAACTACTCAGCTATTGGAATCGCTTGGTAGTCGACGCACTAGATTCACTTCTAGACTGATATTTCCTCTCTTCGCAGTAGATTGTCACGGTTCCTCAAGAGGTTGCAAGCAAACCGACAAATAGGCTCGTTCTAATTATCAGACTTGCAGCGGCCATGTCCCGATGAATCACTTCACATTCGTTCTTCCAAAAGGCGGAGAACTTTCGAACCAGCATGCAATTAGGCCCGGTTAACACTTGGGAGATAAGGATGACAAACATTGAGTTTTCTTGCATTGTCGGTATATATTAGTCACATTTCCAATCCATGAAGAAATGTAGATCGCGCAGCGGTGCTGTAAGCTCCACAATTGACAGATAAGATGGTGCCACGAAGGCGCCATGAGCACAAGTCACTCCAGCCAGCCAGCGGGGACTCAAGTAGATCCCACGTAACACCGGCTAGCTCATCTGCAAGTATGAGGTTTGCAAACAGCAAATTTGGCTTTGAACCACTGGGTCTTGTATTATCACTTCGAACTTAAAGGGAATGAAACGTGTCGAATTTTTCAGAATATGTAAAATGAGTTGCAAATGTGGGAGAGCTGGTATAGCAAGGGTGATAACATTTACGTACTCAACATATGTAACCGAACGACCAAGGAACATTTAGATCCCCATGGTACTAGAAGTAGGTATGGAAGATTTCAGTAGTACATCCATAACAAAAAAGAAAAAAGGGATCATAGGGAGTCAGTTGGTCGAGTGTGGCAGAATCGAGCAAAAGCTTCTCATTGGCGTGTTGCACTTCTAGAAGTGACACTAATTTAGATGGAATATTTTAGTTCGGCTGATACCGTCATCTGACAATCAACGGAATCGAAAATAGGCCTTTGGCTTCAGTTGCTACGACACTCGAAATATCGCGATACGTGTACATTCGTAATGCACTGCTCATAAGGTTGCTGAAAATTCCTCGACAGCCCACGACTGGTTTCGCCCTTCTTGGGGGTCATCAGGTAGGCGCAGTCCCCGAGTTTCCGTCAACCTTATGTTCTACTTGAAACACAATTGCACGAAATTAGCGAAACACACTCACTTGCAAGCAAATTTGGTTGACAAAAACTGGGGGGCTACGCATACCTGATGAGCCCCAAGAAGGGCGAAACCGGTCGAGCATTGTCGAAGAAATTTCAGCAACCTTATGAGTAGTGCATTACGTATATGACAATGACAAGTTTTGACAGAAAACAAATTTTGGAACTACGGACTGTTGAGGGATCGTCCGACATTGGAACTGTAATCCGATCCAGCGCTTTCAGCTTTCAGACTTCATGCAGCTGCCGCAACGCAGTTTCCAGATATCCATGGTGAACGAAACTGCGGTAGCCACAACCACTGTACGACGAGTACGCGGTTATTACAGCTGACAATGATGATGGTGATGGTCCTGTCTAGCGGTTCGAGATGACTGACCGAGGTGGCGACTTATACACGCGTTTCGAAGACAATAAATATCGACAGGAAGCAAGTGGAGTTTTTGCAAGAGACGCAATTTGGGAGGGACGAACGTCGAAAACTGTGATATGGAACAAATCCCTTGGAGTATTTAAAGTGACATTTTTGTATAGCTCAATAGACAGTAGACAGGACACTGAACAGCCGTTAGGTTGGAAGAATGGGGAAAAATAATGAAAGCAGAGGTGCAAGGGTAAGTTGTACTTTCCAGATGATCTGGCTGAGGATGGGGACAGTGTGAGGTAGCTTATCCTGAGCCATTGACTCAAATATCTGACGAACAGGGTGATGGGAAAATGCAGAGGTTTCTCCCGGAGATCCGGCTCTGACCATTAAACTCAGCAGCTTATCATGCAATTTAACAGTGGGCATCAGGTCTCTTAGAAGGACCTTCCACGAAAGTGAACCATTGCTTCGACAGAACGAAGTTCAGCGCTATGGTGTCCTTATGGAGATTTGAATGACAAAAGAGAACGGAATAAACCCCCTCTTCTGGAGGGTTGTGGTGTCAAGCCATGAACCCAACCACGGAAAACTGAGCACAGGCGACTCGACTTACGATGGGCGAGGGGTCTCAGTTTCGTCACCCGAAAGAAAACCGTCGTCATAATAGTACGCCATTGTTGCCGAGACCGATGATGCCGTTGGAGGGACTTGAATGTCATCGTCAAGACTGGAATATCCCTTTCCATCTAAAGTTTTGGCACGTCGTTCTCGACGGGGACTAGCTAGGGCTTCCTGCAGGTGCATTGAAGAACGAATATGGATGGTAATTAAACACGATTAATTAATCGTTCGTCCATCGTTATACTACTTAGTTACGAACAGTTTTTCTTCACCACGAGAAGCCACAATGAATATAAATCTGTGAGTGCGGATCACGTTCCAACAACCTCTTAAGACCTGTGTATTCTACAGCCAGATAAAAGTGAAATAAAAGGAACAAGTTAAGACCCAGTCAGCTGATGCTAACCGTACAAATACCCATTCTGTCAAAGCACCACACAAAAAACGAAAGAAAAATTCGCATTTTCACGCCTACTTGATTATTTGTACAGGGTCAGTAAAAACTTTTCGGTTGGATGAACGTTTACTTCAGTGTGATCTCAGCTCATTCAGAACGATGTTTGCTTCAAATGACAACAACACACTAACAAATAAATTGTCAGAAATTGGCCTTCGAGGAAACGGAGTTGTCAGAACTGGAAAATGGATACAAATAACTGTCCTGAATCTATGTTCTTTGTAGGTGTGTTTTTCATTTGTTACAGCCAAAAACTACTACCTGATCAGCGTTGTAATTCGGCTACCGAGCTTGATTTCATTCATCAATGAAAACGTCGAACGGGACTGAGATACCTGTATTTTGGATCAGAGTGACTTGATGTCGTGCTTTCTACAAGTTATGCATGAAGACGTCGTATCCGATTTGACAACACTGCGAAACGTGGATTATTCTGGAAAAAAACGCAAACCCGGGGAATGTTCAGTGGACTGCTTCTACGACTGTTAGTTAAGTCTGAAACTGTCTGCTGTCCCCAGGGACGAGAACTTGGTTCATTACGAACGAATGCCGTGCATGGGTGCTAACCCATCCACGAACAGGTCGAGCTCCGCAGAGCGGTGTGACAATTCGGGTTGCAATTTGTGACACATGCTAACATAAAACCGATTCGACGAGTTGTAATGTGGCAAGCAGGAACTCCATACGCGAGATCTCAGTTTTTTGAGTAATAAGATGGACGATTAGCCGAGTAGATAAGATCATTTAGGAGATGCTAGAGAGCGGGAAACAAGAGTATTCCCCATGAGAATGGTGTTTAGCTTGTAGCAATTCAGTAGCCTGCATAGGTAACACTAAACACTGTGGTCATGGACCAACCATACCGAATTACCAGTCATAAAACTCAGGAGAGCAAGGCGAGAGGGGGCAAAGCAAGATCTACTAGGAGGATGTTGTCTATGCGCTTGTCTCTGTGCATGGCTAGCGAGCCTGAAATACACTGTGATAACTGCTGTCTACGGTGCTCTTGTCCAAATTGTTTGGTCAGGCTTTTGGAGGTGAGAGAATCTCTGACGTTTGTGGTAGGTATCTTTTCTTCCCCTCGTTTTGTTATTCTTTTAACCATAGGACTTTATATGAATGAACTAACAGTTATACGACAGTCAGATACCAGCATACCACACTACTGTCAGCGGCGATGCCCAGCTTTCAGAGTGGTCAGTGCCTGCCCGATATGGCACGTTTGGGCTCGATGTCACCCGTGGCCCTCGGTGGGCAAAAAACGTCGCTTATAGTGGGTAGTGGAGAAGCAGGGTAATCTGTAGTGACTGACCCCTGTTACCATTAAAAGCCTGTTGAAGATGGTTTGCTTTGAGAACTAGATACCGATATACTGAAAACAAAGGCGCAGTTAAATAGCACTGGATTGGGGCATTTAGAAGTGCTAGTGGGTGGAATGCCACAGTAGAACTGGATGGAACCAGCGCGTCACGAGTTCGGGGTGTTAAAGTAACAGCAGAATGAGCACGGATCATCGTCATGTTTCATGGAACTCTGGCTGCAACTGATCTCAAGCTAACTGGACATCTTCAGGACTAGTTGAGATAGAGAGAAAATGACAATCCGTCGCTGACTGAACCTACACCCTTAGTCCACAGGGAAAGCTTAAAGACACATGCCGAGTATGCCAAGAGGGTTTCAATGAGCGGTAAACCAACAAGTTACTGACCGAAGGTAAAATAACACTTAAACCGTCCTCTTAGGAGTGAACTTTACTGAATGGTGAAAAGGGACATATCAATGAAAGCGAAAGAAGCGCGTCAAATGTTTTAAACTGGAAACCTTTCACCGTGTGGATTCATACGATGCACGAGAGTTGGACTATGGATCGATATTATTGTTATTGTTATCGTTATAACTGCAATCGGTTTTCATGAACACTTTGATTGGTTTACCTGATGTTGGCACCAAGCCCCTGATTGGTGCTAGAGGTTTGTTTTTACTGTACGAGCCCGTAAAAATAAATTTTCATAGCTACACGACGGCGAAGCATAGGGTCTCAGTACTGTGGCATTAGTAATGTCACGAATGCTCGAAAACGGATACAAAAGATAAGAATGCCCCGAATTTTACGCTATGGTGTTTGGCGCATCTTTACGATAATATATCGCATTATGTTGCGCATTAAGTCAAACTTCGAGCACCACTGACAGCACAAACGACAAAGAAATGTTGGTTAAACTGTACAACTATGAACTATGACCGCCAATAAGAGCTTTTAGGTGACACATCTTGAAGAGCTTCCAGACACAAACGAAGTCTATCCAAGTAAAGTGGTATGGAGATTCCAGTGATGAGTATCGTAGTATACACTACCATTTAGCATCATTGATAACAATATCCGGTGAGAACGTTGGTACCTGATTGCCTCAGAACTACGTCAAGTTACTTGAGAAAAAACTCTATAATGGGAATAGAAAACGTGTATAGGGAGGAGGACCTAGAGGTCATCTACTACAAGCATCCGAGGTGCCTACACCCAGTCATATAATCTGGATACAAACTGACAGCTAACTGACATCGGTTGGCCGCCATATTGTTCACGGCCTCCCACCAAGCACAGGGAGGATCACGTGGACTCTATCCAGCGCCCAAAAACTTTTCGTAACATCCTTCATGCCAATTGTTTCCAATTGTTTCACTTTGCGATACCAAACTATCATCGCCTGCCAGCCGCAAGACTTTCGGCAACTGGGATCAGAGATCGTAGAATTGTATTCTAGAGATAAACAATGAGCATACGTGGCATATGCTCAAATAATAGCAACCTGAGGAGTTTTAATAGTCAGGGCACATAATTCAAACAAACGAGCAGTCATCGTAACTTTGATGGCACTTGCAGCATGCTTTTCGCAACCGACATGTTTTTTTCTCAAGACAAGAGCAGCAAAGCAAATCAGAATCCATTAGCCACAATGAAAGGCAAACAAAATGACGGATGACGTCAATGGACCAGAGCTTAAAGTTGGTGTTGCATGAACTATATTTGAAATGATGACAACCGCATTTGAAGTCGAAATGGTATAGAAGAGCTGATGCGATGTTCCATATGGTGGTGAACAAATACATTTGAGTTTATGAAACAAAATCGTCAAGTCTAGCGACTACCGAAGTGGGCTTGGAGAGCCATATGAAGTGACTGAGTTTAAAAAAATATATCTACATTCGTACACTGAATTCGCTGCTCCCAAAACGGTTACGGTATGTGCGAAGACAACTTACTTGTCTATAAAGATGACCCGTACGACACCCAGCATTATCCAAATGACGCATCATGGCCTCGAATTCTAGCTCTCCTAATCGCCAAGGTCTGCTTGTCGCGACTGGAACACTATCCCCATCCACGTGGGCGCCTTCGGTTGACGAGGAAAATCCACCCTCGGTTGCGGATGACCTATTAACTGCTGCTAATCGAATGGCTAACGCGGCCTCCGGGCCGCTAAGCCCACCAAGACCGGAAGTGCGCCAGGTCTCATAAGTCTTCTGTTTGAGTTTTTCCGTCGGCAAAACCAAATTTTCCGCATCCAAGGAGGCCAGTAGTAACTATAACAAATAAGGCAAGATAGACTAGTAGTCAACCACACCCACACACACGTATTATCGAAACGGTATTGGAACGAAAGAATTTTTTTTTTCAAAAATCAACCGGTTTTCTTTAACTTTTCTAAACACAAGCGCAGGTTAGTCGAAGAGAACCCGATTTAGTCTAACCTAATACTACAATGGGTTACCTATATTAAGCCTGGCATCAAAAGTCAATTTTGGAGGCATAACCGAGGCCGTAGGCGTATCATTGAACGAGTTGGAGCTACTAACAATGCTGTGCACATATATGGGATATAGGGAAACCAGAAAGCAACGGGACGCCAATAGTCAGAACAAATGCGAGCTTCAGACGTAGCATCCTTGCGATGCCCGGCTGCCACGCCACCTGAAGTACGAGGGCAGAGATACTACCAGGTTGCTCAAGCTTAGGCAGGCAGAGTCAAGATGCAGAGGTTGGGATAGAACCACGGTCAGTAAATTGACGCCTTAACCACTGAACCATCTCAGAATAACTACTAGAAAGCGACTTGAAGTTGATATCAACCGGATTTAATTAAAGCGTTCGAGAAGCGATGGTCTAGGACTCACTGGACTCTAAAAATAACTGGCGCATGTTCTAGCTGAAGCGATTTTGCTGCATCTCACCGAAGTAGTATGTTTCATTTGATCACCAAAATGTAAGCAAACACGAGCGTAATACGCGAAGAAACGACCTGGTTATGGGGTACCTGACAATCTACTACTGGGGGTAAGAGTTTCGCGTTGCCGATATACAGCGCAGAATATCAGTAACAACTTTCGCTCCCGATTTCTACTTTCAGTGTTCACTCCCGAGAGCACCTCCGAAGTAACAACCGTCGCTAATCATAGGGTGAACGCGATGCATGGTACATATAAGCGACCAGTTCTCCCAGATCACCCTACTTCAGTAGCACGAGTACATCACCGAAGCCAAATTCGTTCGGTCTTTCCAAAGCAATAAGAGAGAACAAGCATTGTAGGCCCGTTTCGCCAGCCATGCGAACAGGGAATGTGACTAAAACAAACGTGAAAAAAGAACCGTGAATAATGTAGAACTGAGCTGACAGGTTTTGCTCCATCCCACGACACCATCCCAACCAACCTACAAACATGACTAAAACGCATCCAATTTTATAATGAAGGAAGCGTGTGCTGACTATTATAGTCGTTTAATTCCCCCACAGACATAGGTGATTTAGTCTTCTACAAAGACCATGGGTGATGTTGTTTTTCCACTGGATACACTTCACTTGAACGTATGATACGGACAGCTATCCGAAAATAACAAGGACGACTTCGTTTCCTTAAGAACACCATCAAGTTTACATCCAGGAACGACTTGGTTTCAAATACTTGCCTGAGTGTCGCAAGCCACGACGGCATTTGTTGCATAATGCCAAGCCTCCTCAACCGTCTCGCCTAGGGCGAGCAGGCCACGAGTTCGCAGGAACAACACGCGAGACGTCGGTCCCAAAGCCTCAGTTATAGCCGATCGTTCAGCACTCCAGTCCTTCAGTTTGTCATGATCGCCGTTTACTGCTTGTTGGTTTCCATTGCTGATACCACCAAGAAAGAGACTCGACGGTGTGTAGTAAGAAATTTCACCCAAAATCATCGCTTCGTGACAGAGAGGGAGAAGACCGGATTTCATACATGATACCTGCAAATGGTTAATACAAAAGAACGTGGTGGGACACTGCAATGACAATGATTGCGAAATGTTGGTAGGGGTTTCAGGGCTTACATGCAAGCAAAACAACCGTGAGTTCGACAATTACTATCCAACGACTCTAATCATGGACGGTAAAGTAGAAGCCGCATTTTGTTGATAATTTAAGTTTAACTAGATGACTCCAATCAATAGTCTGGATGCAAAGATGAGTACCTTCGTGTGAGCGGTCAGATGGGAAATGCATAACCTGCCAACCTACCTGATAGAGAAGGCCTGGGTTTTTGGATAGAAATAAACAGCACCAGTGCAAAGATATCGTTGTTTCCACACGATATGGCCTCACTTGACAAGAAGCAGTCAGTTACATACGCGACAACATTGATGTTGATATACAGCTCGGTAGGTTAGGAGACTTGTTGTGATGTATATTTGGCATATAATTCCAAATAGTGTAACAAAAATTGGTGTGCGCATCGAAAATCCCTTAAAATCGCAGTATTTTGTATCTATGTTACCGATCAAGACGTTACTCAGCTTCACTGTTAGTGCAGCAGACGATATATCTGTAAACGTACAGAATGAGATTGAAATAGACGTTGTGGTAGTTCAAGTTAATTTATTTCACGGAGCGAATGAGTGCCTCGAAGGGTATTATCTAGAGTAGTGTGTGGCATATATGACGTTTATCCTCCCTCGTTTCACTCTCTCACCTGAGTATTCAGAGACACAAGCCGACTGACGGACTTGTTGAAAATACTCGTTTACTCATCTACTTCTGCGTTTCAACAACTTATGGAATTTGATGTTAAAATAAATCAGTTGAAGTAGGGAAGACCGAAGATTGGTAGAACGCACGCATGAACGCAATGCATACCAGAAACAGGCGCTAGCTGGCCTACCAGCGTTTTACGAACTCAGCCACAACCAGAAGGAAGGTCTTATAAGAGGAAATGTCGGATACTCTAATGCGGGACTTTACTGAGCAGTGCTTCATAATTTCAGCAGCAGGGGTTGATTGGTTGGCAGCTGGGCAGCCAAAGTTTAGGCGAAATCGAAGTCATATCAGCCTACACCGTAGGCGACTGCTTTCTATATCGATCCATAGGGTCAACCGGTGTTCCAGATACTAATTAGTACGATGGGGCTCACCGAAGAAAACAGACTTACTGCAATGGTAGCCGGAGTGTCCACATGAATAATGCACCGAACATCGGCGCGTGCTGAATGCACAGCAGAATGCAACATCCAAGTTGCGTGGTTTAGTCCGAGAACCGTGGATCCTGGGTCCAACACTTGACCTGTGAGAAAAGCATATACACACATTGAATAGTGCTGCATACTCTAAGGGAAAGTGAACCACAATATCTAGCCAGAGTAAATGAAAAAAACACGGGTCAAATATCATCCAGTGAGGCCCGTCGTTGTTTAAGCTTTAGAGGTCTGAATACACTCCCAAATGGACAACGGTAGTAGGCGATAGCAGACCGATAAAAACAGGAAGATACCTTCCACATCTGAAATGCACATCACAAGATTCAGAAGTGAAACGAGACTGCCAATTGGCCGAAAAGGTTAAGTAAAGGACAGGCTACAATTAAATCGAGACCAAAAAACCATGCCCATGGTTGTTCCACAGGGCATATGGAAACTCGCTCTGCAAGCATCGCCTAAATAAATCGATCAAACTAGTCAAAAGAAGTCCATCTGTCTGTCTTAAGAGGAAAACTGACAAGGCGGGCAATCGTGTGGACACTATTTCGAGTAATGTGTTAATTCACTGTACGTAATTCTCTTCCTGTACTTTGAAGCCATCGACTAAATGCCTAACAAATTGAAGCCAACTCCAATGACGATGTAAAAATAGTTCCATTATTAAAACATGGACTCCAAACAGCTGTCTAACCAAACGCAAATAATTCGCCCTGGTAAGCATCCGAACAGAATGTACGATTCAGATCGAAATGTTCCGACCGGAAAAGCAGGATTTGATAAGAGACACAAAGTAATACAGAAATAGAGTTTCTGGGAGTAAATCACAGGACCCTTTGGTTTCCAAATGTCAGGGGCAAAACGTATCGAAAAAGAAACATAGATTTTCGGATCGGATGATCTATAGCCGTAACACCCATTACGCTGCACTATTCACCGAACGGTACAACGGTAAGAAAACATGTATACATTGAAAAACAACCATGCTTACCTTTACAATCGACCTTGAGCAAAGAGGATGCAGTGATTTCGTGGTAAAGCAACCCGAACGGATTGACCAGGAAATGCTCATTCTTTGAACTAATACGGGCCTGGAGATGGGACGAGAGAGCAAGTAGACGACCGGTGAAGTGGCAAGAAAACTGTTGCGATAAGTTTAGCCTGAAGCGCAAGTAGTGGAGGCTAGATCAGAGCAACCATTGCACTGGGAGAACAACTGCTACATCACGACGATTGCGGGTTGGGAAAAAGAGATGAATCAACAACATAACGCGGATATATAGATAGATGGTCGCAAGCATATTGCCGAGTAACCATCCAGCTAAAAAGGGTTCGCAACTCCAAAGATAGACTGCTCCCTGTGTACGCAACTTAGCAAAAGCCTAGCTAAAAGGTCCGCGAATAAAGATCATTGAAGTTCCAAAGGCCCTAGTGAGGCATACTGAAGCCAGAGAAACAGGCAGTCTAACAATATGGTCACGGTACTGTCCGTCAGTCAGTGGAATAACCTGGTAACAGCTCATTACTTGTGCCAAGCCACGGCTGTAGAATAAGTCGGACCGACGAATACGTTTTTGGTACACGTAGGTTTCACGGCTATCCCCCCCCCCATTCTTACGTCGCAAAACAACTGACAGATGGATCAAATGAAAGCAGCGAAACACAAGTTAGAAGTATTCGCGGTATTAGTAGAGAAGTCGCACGTTGGAAACACTAACACTGTTTCCCTAACACTGTTTCATCGACACTACTTGGTCTCCATCAAATTTGCGAGTCCCATGAAAACTGGAGAAGTGATAGCTATGGGGAATGATAGCCCTCGTCAAGAAACGCTGAAAGGTTGGACAAACTGCCAGAATTCTTTCGAGGCGCGCTTTGTATTTTTTCATCCACAGGCTTTTAGCCTACTTGAGCATTAGCCAAATGTTTGACTGACCTAACTTTTACAGGTAGGCTATTCGGAACGTGTTACTACTGTAGTGAACGACTGAGATAAAATGTAGAAGTTCGGGAGGCGCACCACACCTTCAGGTTTCGCATAAGAAATGAAATCTGAGGAGCTTGGAGAATATTAGACGAAAATAGCGCCACTCCTTTTAAAGCTTCAGGTAAGGGGCTCTATAAACCTTGGAACATTTGACCACTGGACGCAGCGTTACGGGAGGTAACTGACAGTACAAAATTCGTGTGGAAGAGCTTGCTAAGGAGTGGAACGTAGCTGACTGATATTCCTGGAATAATCACAGAAAAGACAGAAGGAACAGTACACATTCCCATTGTCATTTAAAGACTATTCGCCCCAGCCAATTGTAGCTCGTTTTGTACTTTTGCAGTTGCTCTTCCAAAAAAGGTTTTAGGAACAAATTACTAGTTGTACGACAGCAAAGCATCAGTGATTCACACTAGCGTTATTGACAGTGGTCATGCTAAGGGCAGTGAAAACTTCGCGGAAGCTTTGGTGGCTGATTTGGACTGAATTCAGAAAAAATGCAATTTTGTCCAAGGAGCACACAAAAAGAACTGTGGAAACGGAAGTAAGTTGATATAACCCTACCATCGTTCTTCTAAAAAACACTTACCGTTACATGATTGTGGATGCTCGTGTTCCAGCCGAACAGATCAATCAATCTGTACACAGCAGCGAGTTTACAACGAAGAGAACGTTCACGGCGACTGTATATTGTGGCTTCACCACCGCGCAGATCGTTGATGGGAATGATTCCGTTGCGCTGACCTGTATGATGTGAAAGGGGGAGTGGAGAATAAATAGCTCGAAACAAAGACTGGTCACTGCGGATTGAAGTTGGAATTTACACGTGAAACGGTCTTTTTAGTGACTTCATACGAGGAACTCACCCAATAAAACCAAACAAGCGAGATTTACTCGACTATTCTCATTCACATGCCAAGGCACAGACCGTAGGCTAATTCACAAGCTCCTGACCGAAAGTTTCTGGCTTGAACTGCTCTCGCCAATATTTTGCGGTCGGTTCTTGTATTCCTCTAGAGTTGTATTGCACTGACGGGGTGCAACAGCTAAAAAAACACTTTTCGACCTGGGAAGACTGCGAAGACAGGACCTCATCTTGGATGGGTTAAGAGCTCAACAATTCTAAGCGGGGCGACGAACTGGTTAATTTTGACATGAAACAGCTGGCGTCTCTACAGCGGTTCCAATGGGTACACAGGAAAGACTCCTGAGGCTCACGTGCGAGGACCTGCCACTGACGAGTGCTGTCGTTCTGAAACGAAGATTCAAGACCCACGTACGATTGTTGAACTGACCTTCCCATCGTTTTCCTCCCGCTTTCGGTTGCGCAACCTGGCAATTCAGAAGCCACTGCATCTGATTCTGTTGTGTATTGTCGCCATGGTTTTAGATCACCGAACTGAATGGTCTTTGATTGAATGGTTGCTCGTTGATACTCGCCTTCGGCGTCTGTGAGTGTATCCAGTAAACACGCTGATAATCCCTGACAGTTCATTGTACCTGCTTACACCCCAAAAAAAACTCCGATACACGGAGACAGTTGCATACATGCGGCGGACTCACATGGTTGTGGTTGTCGCGGATATGAATGCACAAGTAGGTTGACTTAGGGCCGCTGAGTTTCGATTGCGTGGAAGTCCGCGACCTGAATCGAGAATTCATAACGAGGTAATCGGGGGGGGACGAGGTATTGTTGAAGCAGAGGGTACTTCCACAAAGAATGGACCTAGCACTACACGCTAAGGCTAGACCATACGCAACGCATGCCGAGGTTCTGTCTACCAAGACGAGCTGTCTTCCATACCTGATTCGGAGTGGTGGAAACCTAGAGGTGGACAGAACTAGATCTGGCAGAAGGGTGGTAAGAAGAGTTTGGGCACTGTTCCCCTTCCAGGGTAGGATCCACGTGACCGTCGTGTGCTTGGCTGGAGACGCTGAACGATATGGCGCCTAACCGGTGTCGCTGGCATTCATGCTGGCCGTTTCTATCTAGATTGTATGTGTTGGTGTGTACAACTCGGATGTTTATGGTATGCTGGCCCTAGGCCCCCCTCCTTGCCGGCGCTTGTTTCTTTCCATTATAAGACTTTGTCCAAACAAACTGACATGGTTGTGCGGCAGTGAAACACCGGTGTCATCATCTGGTGTTGTTGGCAACGACGATGACGTGAGTGGCAGGTGCTGCAAATCGGAAGTTGGCTTGGTAGCCCACCGCCAGCTTCACGTCCATGAAAGCGTTCGTACGAACGTAGCCACCCGATTGGCGTGCGCTGATTTTTCTGTCAGTTTCTGATTCAAGACCGACACATACCCCACCGAGCACAATGCAGATAAGCCTGACTGAGTGGACAGGAGTCATATTCACTCGTGACAGGTTACTAGTCTTGTTCGTGAGGCTGGTATAATTGACCGGCTATCAGTATAAAAACCTGGCAACTATAGCTGAACGATTCATCTAGCGGCACTAGCCAAGACATTTGTCAAAAGTTTCACATCTATCCAGCTCTGAAACCTATATTACCTAGTCCAAACAATCCGTGGATTGCACCACCATTATTGGAATACAACTCTGACGGCTCGCTTGGTAGTGCTAACCTGGTCTTTGCTTGAGGGTTGCCATCTGGCATCATGACACCGAACCAAGTCCTGTCGCCACTGAAAATTCATGAACCTACAATATTTCCAAACACGTGGAAACCTGTCACCCAACGCGGTCACAAGCCCGTCCGCCGTGCAGGCCAATCGGAAGCAGATTCACCGAGCAAGCGCCGTTAACCAGACCGCCAAAGGCGGAAAGATACAACGTCTACTGTGCGCGATGCGCCGAGCAAGCGCCGTTAACCAGACCTTATACCGCCAAAGGCAGAAAGATACAACGTCTACTGTGCGCGATGGGTCATGTAAGGGACTATACAAAGGAAACTGCGGCCTCGCCTCGGTCGCCGAACAGTACTGCACACAGGTGCCCCCTGCCCCGAAAGGCATGGATAGTCGGTTAAACCATGCAGTGCCATCACGTGACTGGATTTTCATTGAGCCAATCACAGCGGAAGAATCTGGTCGCGCGATAAGCTTGATGGTAAATTCGTCCCCAGATTTGGACAGGCTCACATCCAGAATGCATTGCCGGTTGGATGTCAACGCGCTTTCCGGGTCTTTCAACTTGTCTTTATTGTCGGAGTTGCCCACCGCATCAGTGGTGCCCGTGTAACTCTAGTTTCAAATATCTCAAATCCGAATTCATCGGAGCAACTGAGATCGATCCCCGTGTCATCCGTCCCTGTTCGATGGTTTGTAGGAGCGCTAATCCATCTCTGGAGCCATAGACTGCCACTACCTTCAATCCAGTTTACGTTTTTACATCGAGACGGTTGTGTGTAAGCTAACTACTCTTACTATCCGTCATCACTCCTCAGCGACTGCCTACGTCTGGTGTTCGGTGACATCTCGGAAGCCTTCGATAAATCTGCCGGGACGTTTGGAGCATCGCCACCACTACTTCGGCATATCATAGTCCTGTGAGAATGCCGCAGCAGTTTTCTCCAATTCCAAGGTTTAATACCGCTGGGGAGTGAGGCTAGATGGCTCAGTGGTTCGAACGCGAATTTACTGACCGGACGATCGGTGTTTCGAATTCGACGTTTGCATCTCAACTTTCCCTGTCTAGGTCTGGGCAACCTAGCAGCATCCCAGCCCTCGTGCTTTCTGGTGGCATAGCAGTAAGGCACCAAAAGGGTACTACAACTGAACGAAAATTATAGTGAGACAAGCAGACCCACTCCCAAAAATTGTTCATCACGGTGGTGGGTGAGGTTCCTAGATTGGGTTACCAGTTTAGTGACACCTTGGATGGTTGTCTTCACTGAACAATGGGTCGTGTGTACGGAAAGTCAGACTCACCTTAAACAGAGGCTTGAAGCTACTGAGATTGGGTTGGGGAGAGCTAGCGTGACGATCAAAGGCGAAAGCAGTGATGATATGAGAGTGACTGTGGTCTCATTTGTTCCCTTTTGCCCCGACGAGGAACTCATCACTCCTTTGGGTCCAACAGAGACCGTGATATATTCGGACATCCCCTCTTACTTTCAAGGGGAACAAATTCTATAACCACCGACGGAAGTATCTAAAACTGTCCGGTGAAGTGACGCAAGACCCGCCGAAGCCGCAACAAAGGATGGAGATCAGAAGAACCTATCTAATACCTAGGCTGACATATTCGCTTGCTCGCACTCGGTCAAGTCCGACAGCTGCAGTCTCACACCTGGCTTGGCAATAGTTGGAGGTCTGAACAACAGTCTCCTGGTCTCTCAAACTGGGAATTGGGATAAGAGTAGCGAATTGTCCTTGAAAAAATATAGTGTGTTGGCAATTCCTCCGAACACAGTTGGGACAAAAGCTTTGATTGAGACCCCCAATCATCTTATCAAGGTGTGGGCGTCGTAGCAGTATCAAGTGCCCGCATACAACCACGATTCCCATAACTAAAAATGTCATACCACATTAGCTGTCGCGTGATATTACGATCCGTGTCACCTTGCTTACTGCGCACAGCAGAGTGGGCTTCCCCCTTCCTCATACTTTTCCTCCACTCCAATAATAATATCCTCTTTATACTGTCCTTCGTTAGGACTGGCGAATTCGTTCATCTTGGATCGGTCTTGGTAAATCCACGGGGAAACCGGGACCAAGACCTTTAGGCATCTCTGAATCAATCTTCAAGCTTCAGGTCCCAGCCTATCCGGTCGCTTTTAATGTTCACACTTGAGCAGGAAAACAAGCTGCTCTTGTTCACACACTGGAATCGTTTCTCACTCAAAAGAACAAATGACGAGCTAAGAATTGCAGTCTAGTTTCACGTGGGCTCCATTAAGTAGTTTCCAACTTCAAGGCGACGACGGTGCTCTTTATTCAGCCGGATTTTCCCAAAGACCAGTACCTTCAACAAGTTAAATGAGCTTAAAGTTCGACACGTTGAGGTGATCATGAGTCTCAAAAAAGCTGGTCTCACCCGGCACACCTCAAGCTCCAGCTTGAAAATTGTTCATCACTTAGACCGTTTCAGTCCAGTGGCATAAGACTGCATTACACTGAAAAACAAGCTAAGGGTAGTGTTTTAGAATGCCGACTGCTGGCTGGAATATCCAGTCTGGTTATCAGGTTAATACATTGGTAGCTCCTATAATCAGCCTCCGGCTGATGCCACATTATTATTAACAATATTACTGGCAATAATTGTCATAATCGTTCTGCTGTGACACCCTTCCAGTGCCACCCAAAGGAAAGTACGAGGGGTGACTAGCGCCGAAGCCATTCATTTTGTCAACTGAACTTCACTGTCCATGATCAACGTTGAATCTAGTGCTATTCTTCACGAGATGAAGGCAGTTGCAGTCGTTGCCAGCTCAGTGCTATAGGGATCCCAACTGGTTGAATAATGGATGACTGAACCGTGATTGGCGCCACAAGAATGAAGTGTGCTGCAAACGCAAGCAGAGAAACTAGTTGGATGGACTGATAGATGGTAAGACAGTTCATAAGCATATCTGCAAGACCGGCTGATCTCACATCTGGGCAACAATCTACTTGAATGGGTTGTGTGCTGCCCCCTGGATTGCAGAGGTAGGGGGCGAGATAGCTCAAGTGGTTAGAGCACGAATATATTGACCGAAAGGCAAGTGGTGCGAACCGGACCTCTGCCTGTCAATTTCCCCGTCTAGGCTTGGGCAACCTGGGAGTATCTTACCCCTCGTGCTCCCCTCTGGTGGCATGGCAGCTAAGCACCGAAAGGGTGTTACAGCTGATCGATGGCAGTATGATCTTGGGTGTGGCTCCACTAGCGACAGCCGAAAAGTACACGGTTGTTGAATGGTGAATGTGTACCAATACACTCCAGCCAAGCAGTCACCCCGGAGTAAAATGACTATCATTGAAATACGACAAGACGTTCCGGGGTCTTCGTATGGGGATACATTTGATAGATGGATTAAGCACTTGTCTTACCTAATCCTGTACAGTCTTGCATCGATGTTTTGGTTGCGTGTTTTGCCAAAAATGAGTGACAGTCGTGTTGATTATGCGCACTCAATACCAACAAGTCATCACAGATTCAACCTCCTCACAGCGGTGGATTTTCCAGCATCACCAAAATTTGTCAGCTACTACTGCTCTAAATGTTTTCTATCCCCGTTATATCAAACACTAACCCAGATAAAACGTGAAGAAAACAACTGAGCACCCCATTGACATAATGATGCTCACCTTCGTTTTTCTGTTTGGAGCACCGTTAAATTAGGTTCTGATGGAAACATCCACGACTTTAAAAAGTGGTGTTCCATTAGTCTTCAGGAGCTGAGACTGACTGAGATCTGAAGAAGTGGCGATCCGATTTGAGGACTCCGAAAATGTACCATCCCATCACCTCGTCAAACACTCTCATGGGCTCAGACTCACTGATGCAAATCAATCAACTCCGGAGCGGATGGAAAAGCATGGAGTAGAGACATGGTCCTAAAAAACGTGACTACGATGTCTCAAGAGTTTGGGTGCGCACGTGTATCATTGTGGACCCCCGTTAAAACATTCCAATGCAGACCGGATAAGCCAACGAGTTGCCTCCGGATAATAGCAGGAATGAGAGTTGAGATTTCGACCTGCGGTAACAGAGCAGTGCTCAGTGGAATCTGGGTATGGGAGTCAAAATGACATCAAAGAGGAATCAGTAGGGCCATTGGAAGTCACTTCGCCTTGCAACAGCGCTTATAGCATGATTGAGCAGCCTTCGTTTGAACGTGGTCCTAATGAGGTTACCGGTCCAATAATAAACCAGCATGATTGAGCAGCCTAATGAGGTTACCGGTCCAATAATAAATACAATAGTTCAGCTACAACAGGTTCCGGTGCCTCCGGTGCCACCCGGAGGCGCGAGAGCTGAGATACTGTAGGGTAGTTTTCCAAGCCTAGACAGCACTCAATGTGTTCGCGTCGGGTCCGAACTACAGGCCTTCCTGCCAGTAAGTCCACACCTTAACCAGTGAGATATTTCGGGCTCGCTTCCCGTTACAGCGAAAAAAGTTGAGGGACGGAAGACCGAAGCGAGGTGGTCCTCTAAATTAGTGACTGCTTCCAACGACACGATGCGAATCTAGATCGGGCTGTCACTAGAATATCATAGTCGTCGATGCGGCGCAATGACGCGAATATCACATATGCAACCATTCTCGCCGGTAGGAAAAAACGTAAGGGACCAACACTCAAAAAAGCACCTGAAGACATGAGAAATACCTTTGCTGAGCCCAACCCCAGTGGAAGCATGACCATTAGGCACAGACGCAAATAATTCCGAAATATGTTGAAGGGAGAGTAGGCTTGTACTCATTCCAGGGTACTCTCCCGATTGCGACTGCGACCGAACAATCTCCTCCAACTCATGGCGGAATGATTCAGAGTTAAGGATTAATGTCACCCGCTGTTTCTGAGACATGAGATTGACATCTTCTTTTATAGAAGCAGGGCGCAGAAGGTTCCGTTGATAATCTGGATTGTCAGGATCTGTAAATTTCGGGTAAAATACGGAGAGAATACAGTACCTATAGTCGCGATGAACTTCTCCGGCTTTTCACCGGGGTTCTCACAGTTCATGGAACTTCCATCCGGCATTTTTGAACGAACAAGTCCCCAAATTTATTGCCCCGTGGTCATCTAAATGCGAGGTGAAGCGCTAGCCTCACGCGTAAGAAGCGGATGAGAACAGGCGCCGAAAAAGAAAGGCAGTCCTATCTGAAATTGATTGATTTAAACAATCTCACTTATTTACCAATTTACGGATTCCGGGGTTCTATGAGTATACGGGCAGGCTGTACCTTCGGAAATTATCTAAGCTCAGAAGAATAATGAGTGTTGGGACCATAATCATGGAACATTTTGTTAGTCCCACAATCATTTTGGAACAGGTCATAAAAATTTTCTGTTAACGGATTCACGGATTGATACACAGAACCGAGGCTTTTGCCCAAGTTTCCCGGCAGTACCACTCTTTGTTCCAAGTAAAGTCAACTGTTTTGGTCCGTCGTGTGGCTTTCAGTATGATCCCGTATTAATACGCATCAGTTAGTTTCCCTCCACAATTTTAGCTCATAATTCCCAGGCACACGACCCGCTCTCGTTCAAGGATTCACGAATTGAAGGATTGATGCACAGAATCCGGGCTTCCGTCCAAGTTTCCGGGATGGGCTTTGTTCTTGTTACTCAGCGGCTGTTGTTCACCGGAAAAAATGGTGTGGCACTGCACACGAAGTTCTCAGCCTAGGGCAGGAAGCTTGCCAGCGCGAGGACTCGCATAAATAAGTGTCCAATAGCGCATTGAAATGTGTTCTAGGAGCGTGGACGACCGTCGGTAGAAGGTTATTCCACGCACCTACTATCCAGAATGAGAAACCTTTTGCCCAATGAAAATGTGTGCTGTGAGCTTGAAAATCTTCTTACCATGGCCCCGCCGTGTGTTTGCTGGATCAGTGGTGAAAATATTTGGCCGAACCTTGTTCCTTCAAGGGTGACGGTTCTCCAAGGGAAAGNTCAGGAACCACGAGAAGCATTTCGTAATCCACTGACTTGAGGCGAGCAGCCATTTTCGTAGCAGCTCCTCGGACACGTTCAGTGAGGGATACGTCTTTCGTGCATCCTGAGTGGACAACTTGGTCGGCATATTAAAGCAGCGGTCTGACGTAGGCCCGATTGAGTAGTTGGAAGCTCATGCGAGTAATACTGGAGAAGGTACGTCGAATCAGCCGTAGAACGGCGAATGCATTTTGGGGCGATTACTCACGGTGCAGCGAGAAGAACATGTCTAAAGAGACTCAGACAATCATGGCATCTATCCGTATGATTTCTCCTGGTCCTTTCTTACCATGCATGACAAAGGCATCGCTGAGTCTCCACCGAATGACATATGGATGAACCTTTCGTCATCCAGAGGAAGGTACCAGTCCGACGACCACTGCTTTGCAGCGTCTACACCCATTTGGAGGGCACTGGCATTGGAAATCCAGGATTTCAAGTCGCCCGCAAAAAGTAGCCATGGACTTGCAAGAACATCTGGAAGGTCATTAACGTAGGTCAGAAACAGCACCGGTCCCAGGACGGAGGGTCAGAAACGGCACCGGTCCCAGGACGGAGCCATGAGGAACTCCAATGGAGACCGGCGCTGGAGAATAGTAGGTCGAGCCGATTATCACTCGGGATGATCTGTCTGATAGGAACGCCTTGATTCAGTGGAGGATTTTCCAATGAATACGGTATACTCGAGTTTGTGGAGCAACGGGACGTGTGGGACCTCATCAAATGCTTTTGAGGAGTCGATAAATATGCTATCCGATAAGCGTCACTCGTCCTTGGCTTGGGTTAAGCTGTCAATAGATACAAGCATGTCACGCAAGAACAGTTTGGGAGAAATTCGTTTTGAACTGGAGATATCAAGTTGTTGGAAGCACGGTGATTAATAAACTCATGCAGTTCCATCGTCTAGCGATCATGGAAGGTGAGAATTTTAGTAGATGCATGCCAAGAGCATGCAATCTTGTTCATGCATATAGTGCTTCCGCAGAATTGCACCAGGTCTTCTGCAGCACTGTTTGAATTTACCTAAAATGATGGGAAAGGTATTAATGGCAGGAAGAAATAAATACATGATTGAGAATTATATTCCCGTGGTGCTGATACGGTCATACTACACTGTTGAACCTCGGAGGATCCGGGAGGAGGCCAGAGAATTGGGCCGAACTACGCAGCTCTTGGGCTGAAAAATGTGAGTATGGATTAAAGTGGCTTTGGTTTGAGCATGTGTGCAACCAGATTCAACATTTTTTCACAAAACGTTTTATTCTACGCGTGAAGATTCTGCAGCTAGAGCATTGTGTGACTAAGGGGCCGACGCGGCTTTTGGTTTGAGCATGTTCGCAACAAAATGCAACATTTTATCACAAAACGTTTTATTCTACGCGTGAAGGATCTGCACCTAGAGCATTGTGTGACTAAGGGGCCGACCTCTATATGGGAAAGCATGCTGTATGAGGTTTTTTTACGAAGTTTATTACTGTTCACATGTTTTCGGTTCTAAATACGGTACAGGAAAACATACGTCCTACCATGAATGTCAAAAGCGCGATCGTCCCTCATATGCTACCCATGGAAGACATCGGCGGTCTTTTTTAAATTACTGAGTTTATTGGATCAGCCACGCGCTGATCAAACTGGTTACACGAATCAAGACGTGCGAAAACGGGGCATCAGTTTATATCAGCAGGGCACACCAACTGTAGCCCCCGGCTGTGGCCGCAAACCAGTTGCCGAGATTTGCGAACAAACCAACGACCAGCTATTCAGCCACTAGCAAGCGCACGCGAACTTCCAGTATTCCTGTACATGGACTTGTGACCCGGGCAATCAATACAGTATAGGAGGAGGTTCTCCCATCTGGCTGCGACGACAACAGGTAAACTAACGTTGATGAAGGTGGGTCTTCGGACCATCCTGTCAGGAGAACGCCATCGTAGTTGAGTGACATTTAAGTGCTCCTGTGAATGGCTACTGAAATAACCCTGTGTGATCGTTCGAGAGTTTTGGTAGGGTGAGAATGCTCAGAGAGCTTCAGCGGTTTTGCTTTGCAAGTGAAGATATTCCAAACAAACAGAGGTGAGAGGGAGTGCAAAACAGTGTATGTAGTGAAACTCGGGGAGCTTTCAGAGCACAATATCCTCACGAGAATTCGAACAGATGAACGTTTGGCCAAGTTGATCGGCCGAGTGATAAGGAAAGCTGTCAAGTCTCTTAGCACATAATAATCTATAAATGACTCGAAGGGTGAATATGGTTTCCAAATTCGTGAAGTCCGTGGCGTTGTTTTTAAATGGCATCCCTCGGTTGTGAACAAAACCTCGGAGAGTGCCACTTTCCGACCCACAGCAGGCCATCTGATTAACAGAAGAGTCATACGAACCTTAAACGGACCTGGAGATGGCTCTTCTTTTCCGGGTCATGAAAAGGGTTAGCAAGCAAGACCTTTCCAATCCATACTTTATCTTAGAGAATATTTCTAGATTAGTTCAAATGTTACCTGAATAAGGGTCGGTTGTTCAGTTATAGAAAAAGCAGGTCCCCTTGTGACCACTTTCTTTTTTTGCAAAGATAAAGTAGGGGTAACAGAGCTCATTTTCTTGGGTTATGAGGGCCTAAATCGCAGTGTACCAAGGAAGATTGTTTATGAAACTGACATCGCACTGACTGCCCGTCACTTGGTAAGTGATAAGAAGGAAAGTTTGCCGTGAAGCTATTGGCTGGTCTAGTGGCGTGCCAGATTTGTAGTAAAGTCGGAAGCGCGAGTGTTGTTTGTTAACGCGCAAGTACTTAAAGAGAACGCGCGATACCGACATGAAAGCTGATGCTGATCCAGCAAACAGCCTGTAGAAGCTGTTGAAATGAGACAGCAATCTCTGACAGGACGCAAAAGCAAAGGCTGTGAAAATTGTTATGTTTCCATCGTTCTATGAAGCATTCCATAGATTTCATACGGAAAACTAAGTTCTTACATGGGCTTAATGGACAATCATTCTGTAATGCCTCCGGTTTTCTGAAATCTTGCATCGAAATAGGTAGCGGCCATAATACAACATCCGTTGTTTGAATGCTATGAAGTTACTAAATTTTGTCCCTGCCGGATTTCTCTATCACGTCACGTCACCTACCTCCGCTTCCGTGGACCATTTTATTTCCTTTGCTTTGTTTTATTTGCCTGACCCAAATGCATCCGAGCCATCCATTGTGCCTCTCCTCATTTACTTTAACCAGCTTTTTTCGCTTCATTTGAATCTTCAAACTCAAGGTTGATCGCTTGTTTCAAGCAAGTACCTGTTGTTCAATTTTGTGGTAAAGCAGAAGACTGAGTCCAACCTGACCCGTGTTGATTGAAACCTGGCTAGTTGAATTGATCTGAGCCCAGAAAAGACCAAATGAATGAACTTTGCGAGCCACCAACATTAGGTCTGTAATCATACGTAATACATAATGCATTATTCAGAGGTAATACACCACTCACAAGATTACTGAAAACTCTTCGGTGGCTCACGGTGCTTCTTGCCCTTCTCTGCCAAGCCGATATTGTTTTGCATGGGACAGCGAAAAGGTACCAGCAACACATCAGTGGCACAACGGAGCGTTGAATGAAGTCATTTCGGACAGCCTGCTTCGGCAGGAGTCATAATATGCATCTCCAACTGTCAGCTTTCAAAATCGTAACTCCTGACAACAGACGGACAGACTGACAAAGCCCAGGGCAACTTCTGATCATAGCGTGAGGTCGTTTATGTTATGAGTTGGGCGGAATTCGAAACCGCCGACGTCTCACGCCTACCAAAATACCTGGAAAGTGCCATTGCACGCAAGAACGTAATACGTGTTGTGTTTTATTAAGTGGCTCCCACTAAATCAGAAATATTACGTTCAGTGTACGAAGCGGAGATCTGGGCTGTAAACGGAAGAATCGAAATTTGTGGCACCAAATATCCTCCATCGTTGAAGTACGAGCGGTTCGCGGAGCGGCGTTTATGCCTTAAATTTTTGTATCCGTTCTTCGAGGAAGCAAGCAGTGGTTGATGGAACGCAAACAGGAAAGTTGCTAAAGTGGGTCTTGTGGTATTAACTGTGATGTAGTCCTGTAGGTGTGAAAGCCCCTCCTGACCATACAGCTACCTGTTTTTGCGCCAGTGGCACATTTAGTCATTCAGCAGGTACGAATCCGATAACTTCCGGTTTCTAACATTTAGCGAGGGGCACTAGTGGACGCTGGTGACACTGGTGGCCCGGGTTAGCTGGGTGGCGATCGCCGTCTTTACGGAGGGCGGCTCGACAACGACATTCTTGGCAAAACGATTTCGGAGTAGACGGTCTAAGCACGTGTTGTATATCCCAAACGCAGTGGAAAATCAATCGGTCCTTGTGTTGTAACAAGCTTCGGTTGGATAGGCTCGGAGTCTTACCCAGTAAGAAATTTTCTGCCAGTGTATCACGAGTCTGATTTGGGGCGATAAATGGTGTCTGGAAAGCCCGTGTTATATCTGCTAATCTCTCAGTCTGTGTTATCTGACCCGCTCCAGCGCCTAGTGCCGGGGAAAAAATGCTCACAGAAGGGAACACCACAGCTACATTCCGAACAAGCGAGTGCGAAGAGCAAAAGTTACAACGACCCCGCGCTATTTAAAGGGGCCTTTCTGACATTGATCCAGGCTGTTTGATAGGTGTTAATAAACACCCATCAACATCGATCGTGCCTCCATAAAAAGCCTGAACGCTGATCGGTCGTGCTTCTGCGGCATGCAAGAATACTCATTAGTTTTCGCTGAATTGATCAAATGATTGACTGGCCCGGATCCTTGCCGGCTTTGCTGTTGAGTTTTTGGTGAAACAGTAGGTTCCTGGCGTTCTGAGGTTGCTTTGAGGAATTTGACCTTCCTGATTCCCCACTTTTGGCTGTTCAACGTAAGATTTCCGACGCGAATCAAGTTGTAGGGTTTCCACCCTTTTTCTGATGCGACCGGCATGGCGTCTCGTTTGCAGCAATAGATCTGTCTTGGGCGGTACATGTGAGGCAGTGGCTATAGGTGCTGGTCCTCGGGGATCAAAGGGTTCATGCAGTAGGTTGAGGTCTGGTAACTGTTCTACCGTCTTCAGGATCTGGCACTCAGTCAGCCGTAATTGATTGACATGTCGTTTCCATATCAATGATCCTACCTGGACGCTTCAAATCACCTGACCGATTATTTTGAGGACGACTTCAGCAGTCAGGCTTCGGTACCCGGGGCGATAGTCTGACAAGCACACGGTTGCCAGCCCGGAATGTTTCGCTCTCCACTTGTCGGTGATGGAAAACATGTAAGTGTTGGTAGGATAACATCATGGGCAAGTTTCAACCGTCTGTTCATCATAACCTCTGCTGGAGGGCGACCGTCCGGAGACTGTGGATTAGGAGTTGCTCTATAGTTCAGTAGGAACGTATCCAGCACTTCTGTCGTGGTCCCCTCCCTTTCTGTTTTTGTCAACGCACGTTTAAAGGTGTCAACGAACCGTTCAGCTTGACCGTTTGATTCGGGATGGAGTGGTGAAGAAGTAGCATGTATGATGCCGTGTTTTCGAACGAGTTCGCTAAACTGATGGGAATTAAACCGAGTACCATTGTCGAACACAATAGATTCTGGGACACCGAATATTGAAAACAAGTGCCGCAGTTTAGTGATGGTTACCGTCGCTGTTGTCTCAGACGTAACGAAGACTTCAGGCTACTTACTGAACGCATCGGCAACGATAAGGAGGATTTGTACCTTAATTGGTCGGCTTTCCTGTTGAGTTTTTGGTAGAGCAGTTGGTTCAGGTTGCTTTCAGGAATCCCAACTTCCTGGTAGCTCGCATCAACTGAAGTTTACAAACGCCCCGAGATCCCAAAACTAGTCTCTTCGTCAATAATTGATAAACACTGTCATCGATGAGGATTGGAGAAATATGAGAAAATGGAGGTTATATGCTACATCACCCCTGGAATTTCGGCTCCATCTCTTTCCCAAAACATTTCTGGTGCAACAAAATCAGGGCAAATAATCCGAAAACTACATCGCACAAGGGCCTTGTTTTGTATGAAAGATATGGCTCAGCTTTGCGCATACATGGACAGACAACCCAGTATAAAGGTGCTACTTCAATCTTTAGCATCCCTTGATCGACAAAAGGACAACGGCACAAGCCTGTCACATCCGACCGTGCCACCAAGTGTCTAGTTTTATTATCATATGACCGCCAATAATTTGAGCTCGATTTAACGACAAAAGTTGCCCTTTTTGGACTTCCGCTTGGAATATTTTACCGACACGGAAGACGTCAACTAGATGTCATCCCGCTGATGAAACGCATGAGAAAACTGAGGACCCTCGTTTGATGCGGTGGCATCCCACTGTGGTGAAATTTTCAGCAAAGGCCTTCGGGTAATTAGCTTTGTTTTATTCTAGCTCGACCTGCAGGAGAGCAGTGTGTGACACATGTGAAGATAGCTACTAGAATTCCTTACTTGAAACTGCACTTAACAGGTGCATTCTCAG